TACCAGGGTACGGATGGAGGTACCAGGGTACGGATGGAGGTACCAGAGGTTCTGATGGAGGTACCATGGTACGGATGGAGGTACCAGAGGTTCGGATGGAGGTACCAGGGTACGGGTGGAGGTACCAGGGCACGGATGGAGGTACCAGGGTACAGATGGAGGTACCAGGGTACGGATGGAGGTACCAGATGTTCGGATGGAGGTACCAGAGGTTCGGATGGAGGTACCAGGGTACGGGTGGAGGTACCAGGGCACGGATGGAGGTACCAGGGTACAGATGGAGGTACCAGGGTACGGATGGAGGTACCAGATGTTCGGATGGAGGTACCAGAGGTTCGGATGGAGGTACCAGGGTACGGATGGAGGTACCAGGGTATGGATGGAGGTACCAGGTATCAGGTTTATCCAATTTGACACTCGGGAATAAAACACAAGGAGGAGACAGGAGACTCAATTCTGGTACCAGGAGGGAACGAGGAGAAGCGTTCGGTTTCAGTTCTCGGCACGTCACCCCTCCCGATCTCCTCCTTCACCCCCTCATTTATTGGGAAATCTACTACATAGGTGTGTCCAAACTAAAGGGTGGGGGCTGTTGGACACACACTGAACTTGTTTGACTATGTGTGTGTATGTGAGTGCAAATTACGTACATGTGTGCAAAAACATCACGTTGCAGCTGGTGTTGATGGCTCCATTCACTGTGCGACCTTGCTCAACGTTTAGTCTGAACACTTATCTCTTCCCAACCACGTCCTCGGAAAGGTGGTTGCGTCCCTAAACTTCCACACAGTGCGCTCAGCATTCTTGAGTATAAACGTGAGTATATAATGGATAAAAAGGATTATAAATGTGAGTACATTATGATTAATATACATAATGATTAAGAAGCATTACATTAAAAGCATAAGCGTTCTTCATTGCGAGCATAATCAACCAATCACTCACTCAATATCAATATAACATTAATGATGAGCGAATGTATGATAACTAAAAAGAATCAAGCTATCACCGGGTTTAACGTTATGCGTTCCGTTGTATTTGTTATCTTATGTTAAATATTCTGTGAAGCGCTTCGTTACAGCTGTCGTTGGTGTAAAAGACCCTCCAAGTTGGTCTGAGTAGAAAACGGACCTCGATCCAAATGGAATGTAGGGGGGAAATGGCGCGACGTGTCCGCGGGAGGGAGCCACATTCTGGCCTTCGAAGCTCCCGTCTTTCTTCTCATCATCGGCTCCGCAAATCGTCCATCCATCCATCCAGCCGCAGGCTGTCCAACAGCACAGACATTTCCGCTGGACAAAACGGGGCTGTGAAAAATGCTGCCCATTGCAGGCGCAAAAAACACAAAGGCTCCCAAAGTGGGTCTATGGACAGTCAAACGGATTGGAGGGGATCCCATCGGAGGGACCCACCCTCTGGAGACAAACGCTTATTTCAATCAATTAGTAGATAGATGTACGGAAACGTTGGGCCGCCAATGGCGCCGGTACGTCAGGCCCACACCCGGCCGTTGACCGCAGCAGACCGCCGCGAGGGCTCCGTTGCGAGGACTCCGCCGCGGTGTGCGCGGAAGGCTCGGGCGTGGGCTTCGGACCGTGCCGCCGCGGGAGCAGATCGTGGCGGTAGGAGCAAATACTGAACCGAGAGCTTTGAAGGCCCAAGTGGAGAAGGGTTCCGTGTGAACAGCAGCGGAACAATAAGGGATGCGGGAGGGAGTGCCATTTGGGAGCGTGGGGACAATGGTTTACGTCGCCCCCGGTCGATGAAAACCGAGTCGGGTTCACAATGTGCTCCATCGTAAAAATCAACTCAATTAACGGTCCAAAACACAGTTTGTTCACATTGACATCACTCACCGTTTCCCACGATGCTAATTCGCACAACTGAAATGCAGCATTTCAGCAGGTTCATCTCGACAAGTGACAAAAACACAGCACATGTTCTGCTACTTCAATGCTCGCCAGTCACCAGGGATAAATGACTTGGTCGGTCGAGAAAGGACAAATGACGTGCCGAAATATCAACACAATTGACGGTCGCGGCGTGAACGAGCTCATTTTGGGCCACCTGGAACAAGACGGCCGCTTGTGTTTTCTTCCTCACGCGAGTGCTGACGCAAGATGGACATTTCAAATCAAAGTACAAAATGAAGTGATTGCGCATTCCACGTGTCACTGACTAATGGAGCATCTTCATTTTTTTTTTTTTTACCTCATCAGCCAGCCCGAATATTTGTGTCGTACTCCAATATGCCAAATGACTAATCATGGAAACATCGAATTTCCCTTCGACAACAACAATCAAGCCGTAAGTGTCATGAGTCATTTGACCCTGGTCAAGTGGAGAAGATGACGACGTTCATTTGCGCAGCCTGCGTGACTCCGGCTCTTCGCCCGTCCCGGCACCTGAGACCTGCTCTGTCCTCACGGTGGACCGCTCATCTTGCTGGGGCTTCGCCGACTTTGTGGGGAGCGAGTGAAGATGCGGAGCGATATTGGCCCCGCCTCCTCGGACGGAAAGGGAGCGCTGGTGCTGCTGTCCGGGTCGGACGGGTTTGGCTGCGGGAGGGTCGGGCGGACAAGACATTTGCCTATTAGACGATGGCGAAGCAGAAATAGCGGAGGTCTTTTGGAAACGTGCCTATTTGAGCAGAGTGGAGCCTCCTGGCCGGATTCTTGAAGCGGACCACCTCTTTGATGCGCTCCACTTCCTGTTGGTACCGCTGGCGGTCTCTGGCTGCCGCTTCCTTGGCGCCCCTTAGAGCACCCTCCAGGGATCTCACTCTCTCGGCCGTCGCCCGAAAACGTTTTTCCAGCTTGGGCAGCTCGCACCGAAGGTCGGCGTTGTCTCCCACCAGCTACGAGGGGTCAGAATTGGCCATTTGAATCATACATCAGATATGATCGTGATTTTCCTAATGCTTTACACAAAACAAAACAACACACGACAGCCTGTCGTAGGACGGTGGAACCACGACAAACTTGAAAACGTTTCCGCTTCAATGGCTTCAAGCTACGAATGTTCAATGAAGTCCAACAACTCTCAGACTTACTGTGGCCAAAAATAGTCATCGGAAACAGTGCATGCCCACCGAAGTCAAATAAATGTGGACTAGGAGAAAATTGGGGATGATCTCGTTTTGAGAGGTAAAGAAAAAAAAAGAAAAAGAAAAATGTTTTTTTTTTTGTTTTTTTTTTAAAGTAACAAAGTCAGAGAGTGAATAAGACAAGTGGGCAGTTTGTAATCCTGAAGGGTCGAACCTTCGTGCTCAGTAGAAGTCGAGCGCACAACACAGTCTAACTGTCCGCACGGCTCGAGTTTTCCTTCTTTTGATATTTGATACGTGCCGTGCAATCAAACACGCCGGAACGCCCATCGAGGCATGGCGCGGTCCCTAACATTCACCCACACGCTAAGCTAGACTTGCCGTGTCACAATAATGAAGCTGCAGCCCTTTTGACACCACATTGCCAAGTATGCCGGGGGTGCGCCAGCCCCGTCCGCCGGAATGCCCTGCGGTCCCAAAAGCAGGAAACGAGACTTGCCCTAGCGCAAAAATGAAGACGGAGCCGTTTTTGCGCAGAGCAAGCGCACGGGCTCCCAAAGTCTTTTACCTGTTTATGGACTTTACTCAGCTGCTCCAAAGTGTTTTCCAGAAAGACGATCCTTTGCCTCTGAGCGAGACTGCCTCCACCCTCGTCGCCATCGCCGTCTGGACACTGTTCCGTCGCACGCACGGACGGCAGCAACGGTTATCACGCTCGGGAGAACAAGTGGGCCGACGCAAAAACGCAGCGAGACCGGCCGTAAAGACAGCCGCGAGGATGGGAAGTACACGTGTGGATGTGACTCACGCTGACGCGACGGCTGATGTCCCGGACGAAGAATTTTCTCAGGTTGGTGAGCGTCTCCAATTCTTTTAGCTGTCGACGACGACATGGGGAAAGTCGGACGTGTGCGCTGTCGAGAGAGAGAGGCGAGCCGGTCCACATACCACGGTCTCTTCTAGACCCCGCAGATCCTCCTTGGCTTGCCGTCTCTTCTCCTCTAGGGACCTGAATGCCAGAGAAGGTTACGCCAAGACGAATCGATGGGAATGACCGAGGCCCGAAAACCTACGTGAGTTTTTGAAGTTTCTGCTCTTTGCAGCGCTCCTCGCGCGTCAACCTGTCCACCTCGGCTCGAAGCTTCCGCAGGTCCAGCTGAAGCGCCTCATTGAAGCTGAAAGAAAGGAAAGGGGTTCCGATGGATTCTTTGGGCTTTTCTGGTCACGGGACCCGCTTTCGGACGCCGCGACGTAGCCGAACGAGAGCGTACTCTCGGAGTTGGTCGTTGATCCTTCGCCTGTGCTCGATCTCGTCTCGGAGGCGCGACAACTGTTTTTGGTGGACGTCTCGATGGTTCTCCATCTGTTCCTCCAGCGTTCTCTGCAAAGCACATGCGACTTTCTACTTTCGAGCAAATGCGGCCAAACTGTGACGACGCTGCAATATTTTGCGGCTTGGCAACCTCTGACAAAGACCAATTTTTGCTTTCCTTTTTGACATTTTATTATGTTGTGACTCTCTGAACGTTCGGTGGTTCTTGACTGGCATATCATCTATGTTGCCGTGCTTAAACCTTTCAAGGAACGGATTGAACAGACGATGTAAACGGTACTCAGTCATTCTTTAGCCTTGGTGGAGAACCACAAAAAAAAAAAAAGATCAGAGATGAGCCAACATCGATAAAAAGTCTACGTATGAACCCGCGCGAGCTCCTCCTCTGCTAACAGAGTCAAAGTTTTCATGACGTCCAAGAGTCTTCAAGCCACTTGGCTCCCTTCTCACGGGCGCCATCGAAAGCTGAAGCTCACGTTTGGTTTTTCCTCAACTGGACACGCACGTTCAGGGAGGCCGATAAAAGTAGATGGAAAAAAAGCATCTGTTCACTGGAGCTCCGGGCAACGCAAAGGCTCCGAGGTGGACGTATCTTTTCAAACACGAGAGCCAAATATGTCTTGCGAACAAGAAGAACGAGCGACCCGGACGTGCGGCGACGACGTTGGACAAGAGTCACGCGGCACAGACGACGTTCAAGCCGGTGCCGCGCGTTACCTTCATGTCCGCAGCGTCCTTCAGTTGAGTCATGTGTTCTTTCTCTTTGTCCATCACGCTCACCTGCTGCGATCGATCTGCACAGCGACACAACAGAGGAGTAGCGCGCAGCAGCGTAGCGCGCAGCAGCGTAGCGCGCGGGCAGTGTGCCTTGCGCCATTTCACAGGCCCAGTCACGAGTCACCCATTAGATTCGATACCTTAATCGATTGCTAAGGACTATTTATTTGGTCTTCATTTCTTTAAAATAGTTCAAACGGGGGCCGGCCGACGCGATGACGTTTTCAGCGTTGGCTCGACGGTCCCTGTCAGAACCAACCGGTACTGGGTCGGTATACTGATGATTAAATACGGGAAGTTTCTGCGATGATTTCATCCTCAAGATGAGCGCATTAAATTCCCGCAAACAAACTCACGGGTGTGATGAGCGCTGACCTTGAGCGTGAAGTCGAGCCACTTCCTCCATGAGAGCATCTTGACTTTCCTCCAGCCGCCGTTTGCTTTGCTCCCTCCTGTCATGAACTGCCGCCGGAAAACGCGATGGCTTCGTCGCGCCCTATTCTATTGCGACCGTCCGCAATGCGGACATGCAGAAGACGAACGGGGCCAACTCTGCGATCTGAGATCGAGAAACGAAGAAGAGGGCAATGGCTTGGATTCCACCTCTGCGACAACCATGACCTGGAGGACCTCAACTGGAATCTTCATCATCGCGCTGCCGTTCACAATCGCATTCGTCGGCCAAGCACGTAAGCGTGTAAAACACACGCGAGAAATTGACGTTCCCGGTCGTGAGCCGTCCAGAGGACAAGCAACAAAGCAAGAACTGAAAGAGGGAGACATCGCGGAAAGCGTTTCTCGCCCCGAGAGCTTAGGACGTGAAAGGAAAACCATACGGAAGCCGAGGACAGACTCCAACCAATCTCGTTGAATGGGACAACGTTTTGAGCCCGAAAAAGAAATCATGTCCGCAGCGTCCTTCAGTTGAGTCATGTGTTCTTTCTCTTTGTCCATCACGCTCACCTGCTGCGATCGATCTGCACAGCGACACAACAGAGGAGTAGCGCGCAGCAGCGTAGCGCGCAGCAGCGTAGCGCGCGGGCAGTGTGCCTTGCGCCATTTCACAGGCCCAGTCACGAGTCACCCATTAGATTCGATACCTTAATCGATTGCTAAGGACTATTTATTTGGTCTTCATTTCTTTAAAATAGTTCAAACGGGGGCCGGCCGACGCGATGACGTTTTCAGCGTTGGCTCGACGGTCCCTGTCAGAACCAACCGGTACTGGGTCGGTATACTGATGATTAAATACGGGAAGTTTCTGCGATGATTTCATCCTCAAGATGAGCGCATTAAATTCCCGCAAACAAACTCACGGGTGTGATGAGCGCTGACCTTGAGCGTGAAGTCGAGCCACTTCCTCCATGAGAGCATCTTGACTTTCCTCCAGCCGCCGTTTGCTTTGCTCCATCTTGTCAAGCTGCTCCATGAGCGACCGCGTCTTCAGCTCCAGCTATCGATGACACGGACGAGGCGTCAACCGCGGGCGGCTCGGCCACGCGGAAGGCTTCCGATGACGTTCGCGCGGCCCGAGCTTGTGCCGCCATTTTGAACGACGCCAAACTCCCGCCCGAAAAACCGCCGCTGTCCGACTAAAGGCCGTTTTTGTTCCTCATTCTGCGAGCGTGATGAACTGCCGCCGGAAAACGCGATGGCTTCGTCGCGCCCTATTCTATTGCGACCGTCCGCAATGCGGACATGCAGAAGACGAACGGGGCCAACTCTGCGATCTGAGATCGAGAAACGAAGAAGAGGGCAATGGCTTGGATTCCACCTCTGCGACAACCATGACCTGGAGGACCTCAACTGGAATCTTCATCATCGCGCTGCCGTTCACAATCGCATTCGTCGGCCAAGCACGTAAGCGTGTAAAACACACGCGAGAAATTGACGTTCCCGGTCGTGAGCCGTCCAGAGGACAATCAACAAAGCAAGAACTGAAAGAGGGAGACATCGTGGAAAGCGTTTCTCGCCCCGAGAGCTTAGGGCGTGAAAGGAAAACCATACGGAAGCCGAGGACAGACTCCAACCAATCTCGTTGAATGGGACAACGTTTTGAGCCCGAAAAAGAAAAACTCAGGACAGTGCACATCTCAAAGACCCGTCCGACAAATCTCGAGATTTTACATGTCGTGAACGAGCAAGATGGAAGGATGGAAGGGAGGGAGGTGCAGGTGGAACACGACGCAAGCGGTCTTGACGAGCAGCTCGGACCACCGGAGCGCTCGGTCGGGTCTGTCGCCTTTGCTGTCGAGCCGGCGGCCAAAACGAGCTCGGCCCCGGCGCCAACGTGGCCATCCTAACGCATGCCGCCTTTCGATGATCCCCGTGAGCTATTGCGAAGCGTCCTCGTATCCCTCGAAAGGCCCGACGCAAACCCAAGACATCGGTGCCGCCGTCGTCGTCGTCGTTGAGATTTTTAGCGTCTGTCAGCAGCCGTGCGCAAGATGTGGATGTCGACTCCCCACGCGAGTGTCAAAGTTGCGGAAGGTGGAGATTACGCCCGAGCGTGTTGAACTAGCGCGGGTCCAATGAGACTCGCGAGCAGTTTACCTGCGAGACGGCGAGCCGGCGAGCACGGAGCTCCTTGTCGTTGGCTTCCATCTTGTCGAGGTTCTGCGCCAAGCTGACCTCCATCTGTCGACCGCGGCTCACCAGCGACTTCACCTCCGACTTGGTCTTTGTGACATAAAGACGAGCCGCGGTGAAGTCCTCTTCCAACAGTCCGCTCGTCTCGGTCATCTGAAGGCGCGCGGCAAAAAGGATCGTCTTCACCGACGAGCGCCCGAAATTCCTCCCAAAGCTTTGTGGCTCACGTCGCGGAAGCGACGTTCGCGAGGTTTCCGACGGCGGCCGAGAAAGGGCGACGGCGTTGAACGCCAGCTCTGACCGTTCGGGATCGGCCAAAGTCCGCGGCTTACCGCTTTGAGCTCGCCGGTGCCGAGAGCGGTCCCGATGTCGCCGAGATCTCTCAGCAGGAGACCGAGCATGTCGGCCGATCTCTTCTCGCGATGAGAGCTGAGATCCCGCAGCGCCGCCACTTCCCTGCGCATTTCCTCCAGACCGACCTGAGGCGCCGAGCGTACGGGAGCCGTTGGAGCGCAAGCGTCGCGAGGCGTCCTTCGGTCGGCCTTACCGTTTTGCGGGCCAGCTCCTCGTCGAGTTGCTGGTTGCGGCGACTCTTGCTCTCCACCTCTTGGCACTTGTGGTCATAGTTGACGGCGAGTTCCTCCAAGGCCTGAAGCACCTCCTTCACTTCCTCTTTGGCCGCCTCGCGGTCCCTCTGCAGACGCGACGTTTCCTCCTGCGCTCGCTGGCAGTCCTGATGCTTCGACACCAACGCCTAGAGGAAGAATATCAGGCGCATCCGCTCGCAAGGAAGGTCAAGGACGCCGGGACGACGCCACGACACTCGCCTCGCTCTGATCCGTGAGCTGCTGCTTCAGAGTTTCCAGCGTCTGACTCTGATGGTTGAGTTCTTCATCCTAAATTGGAAATTGGTCAGGGTTCGGGTGGCCCTCCTGGGCGAGCCAAGCGCAAAGAGAACGGACCTTTTCATCCAGCTGACGGTACAGGTTCGCGATAAGCGTCTCGTATCGCGTCTTCTCCTCATCCGACAGCGAAAGGACGGCCGTCGCCGGGACGTCAAGCGCCGCGTCGCCGCCGCTCTTCTCGCCTTTGCCGCTCGGCCGCTGTTCCGCCACCGGTACCGACTCACCTGGAGACGTCACGCCGATCGTGATGAAAACGCCGATCGAGCTTTGCGGGATTCGGATCTCAACAAGACAAAGATGGCCGACACGAGGAAGGCGCATCGGCCTAAAACAAGGACCGGGGATCATTGCGGACCGCGACGGGAACACCTTTGGGCGCCGACGTCCAGATCGCCAAGCCGGGCGGCGTCCGAGTGACCGGCAGAGCGTCCCGTTTTGGGAAGCGCGTCAAAGAGTTACCCGCTATGTTGCCATGGCGACACGGCCCGGGATCAGCGCAAGAAAACAGACCGACCGACCGACGGACGGACACTGAGAACATGGCGGGCAAGTGAGATGACGCCGATCATGAGACGAGTGCAGCCGAGGCCGCGGCCGCTCCTTGTGAAAACGTGACCTCGACGTGCGGTCTGTGTCGTTTGGTTTGGAATGTCGTCTGACCCTTCGGCGCGTGGCGGTTTGTCAAGCGGACGCGGGCCTTTGAGTCTTGAAGCCGCAACTACATCTTTGCTCACCTTTTCTCCAGCGTTTCAACTCACTCTCCAATTTGTGGATCGTGACGCTCTGGCCGCGAGTCTTCTCTTTCTCCTTCTCGTACTTCTTCTTCCATTCTTCGGCCGTGAGTTCGAGGTTGACGGACGCGGTGTTCTTGATGGTCTTTGCCCTGAAGTACAACGATAAGCCGGGATGACGGCGAGTCGGCTTTGGCTCGCGCCGACGCTGAACGATGGAGCGGCGCGAACCTCTGTCCAAACATGAGCGTGGACTTGGTTTCTGCCTCGTTGGAAGCGGACGGCGAGCAACAGATAACGATGGTGGTTCTGCAGTTTCCTCCCAGAGAGTCTTGCAGGATCCGGGTCATTTTACTGTCCCGGTAAGGAACGTGACTTTTCTGTGAAAAACAACAGCATCCCTTCCGATGACACGACGCAAGAACAACCCCAAGAACAACAGCAAGCAAATGTCTCCACGGTGGCTGGTTGCAAGCGAGCGCCGAGCGCTCTCAACGGCCAGCGCGGAGGTTAAAGTCGGCGCCTTTTTTCTTCGAAACTGACCGTTCCCTCGCTGAGCGCGGCGATGACGTTCCCGAGAGCGGCCAGAGACTTGTTGATGTTCTTGGCTTCGTCCAAAAGCGCGCCCTCGGCTCCCGTTTTGCTGACCTGGGAGACGACAAGGTCAGCGCGTCGGGAGCGGCGAGAGCGCGGCCTCGGCGGGCGCCGACCTTCTCGCTGCCCGCCAGGTCCACCAGGTAAAGTTTCCCCGACAGCTTGGTCTCCGTCTCCACGTTCTCCTGCTTGATGCTGATCAGGAAAATGCTGTGACTGCGAGAGCTGTGCTCGTTCATGTCTGCGCACGCGCACCAGAAGGAGAACAAACGTTGAGGAGCGCGGAAGCGAACCGTGACGGACGAAGGGTCCTTTACTTGTCACGGCCACGTGGCGATTGGCTTTTCCCTCGTCGATGACGTCCATGACCTCCTCCGGACTGGAAACGAAACGCTCCGTGCATCCCTGACGGCAGACGAACCAAAGCGACGATGGCAGACGGCGAGACGACCGAGACGACGACGAGGCGTTACCTTTACAAACGGGACCCTGTTTTTGTCCTCGTGAACGGCCAGGTTGGTCTTGGACACTGAAAGATGACGCGACGTTCAGAAACAACCGCCAGAAAAAGCATCCAAGCCCAAAGCGGTGCAACACACACACACACACACGCGCGCACAACAGCCGAACGATGCTCTTTGGGAATGATCGACACCGGGGGCCACCAAGCGAGAGCGACTTCTTGGCGAGTGGTCTGCGTCAAGGTTTATGACCGCTTGGACACACACTTGCGCAATCAAACGACCTTCCCGTAATGGTTGGCATCTCGGATTGACCGATGTGGTTTTGGACTCCTCCCTCACAATGATTGGCAAACACAAACGTCATTGTGTCGGTGTTGCCATTCGCTTAGAAAACGACAACGTCCCATCACCGGTGAGCTATTTTAGGACAGGCCCGCGGGGGCTCCCTGGCGGGGGCCCGCGGCCGCCGCGTTGGTGACCCCGGATGGATTTCTTGCAGATCTGCCGCAGTGAGCGACGGGGCTCGAGTACATTTTGTGTCGCGTGCGGATGGAAAGTCAAAAATGTTGAACGATATCTTTTCAAGTCAACTTTGTATTTCATGCAAACATGCCATTCAGACGCTGAAGACTTCTTTTGCTTACCATCCAGCAAGTCTCTGATTTTATCCAAATAGATTTCAAAATAAGAGACCTGCAGACACAAGCGAGGACTTTCACACACAATACAGTCAGGCTGAAGAATAGAATCGTGATTCAAAGATCAATAAACAAATCCAGCGATCCGGCGCTATACCGCGCTTCATTGATTGAGGCTTCGGTACATCGCGGCCTTTTTTCCAGAGCGCCGTCATCCGAAAAAAAAAAAAAAAACAAAAAAAAACAAATTCATAACGGCTCCGAGGTTTTGTAAACGCCTGTACGCACGATCGGTTCCCGGCGCGACGTCGACCAATGACGGCGCGAGCGGATTTATCCCCTGAGCCGATTGGCTACGCATCGAACGCTCCTTCGCCATTTGTCACTCATCTCGGCGGGGTCCCGGTCCCCGTTAACCGCGATAAGTGAGGGAACGCTGCATTCCATCAAGTGACTCGAGCGAAGTCAGCGGAAACATCAAAGTCGTGAATTGCTGGCGTCCATGTGGGAAATGTCGCGCCTGACCGTTTTCGATGGCATTCTCCTTCCTCCCCACGGGACTTTTGTATCGTTGAACCGCCTGAACACTTGGACCGTCACGTCCGCCATTTTGTTTGTTCTTTTTCTAGCGCTTGTCCGCGGGAGACTTGCGGCCGCGAGAACGCGCGGGAATATTCGGACTCTGTGCGCAAGTGGAGCGAATGCGCAGCTCGCCCAACGCGACGTCTGACAACATCTCATCCACTCGCGCGCTTCGGACGTCAACCGAGGAGAAACGGCGCGGCCGTCGCCGCGGTCGCGTGACCCGTCACCTTGATGTGGAATTCCAGGTTCTCATCCATGGAGTAGATGTGCTCAAAGATGTCGCCGGCAATACGAGGGATGATGCCCATCAGCCGGGAGTCGTGAAGCCGCCCCTGAAACGCGGGCGGACCGCTTTTGAGACGTGCCGGCGAGGCGCCGGTCAGCCGCTGCGGCGGGCGCGCCCGCGCCTCACCTCCATCGTGTGAGTCTTTCCCGACGACGTCTGGCCATACGCGAAGATGGTTCCGTTGTAGCCGCCCAACACATCTGAAAGGCAAAATCCGGTGAGTAGACTCGAGCGAATCTCGTCCGTTCGTTCAAGTTCAGTCCGATGGTGATTCTTGCGCGCGCCTCTCCGTTGTCAACGCGGCTCCGGGCGAGAGGGAGAAAGTTGGAAGCTGGCATCGTTTTGCCGAGACAAGGCAAGTCAACTTGATTGTCAAATATGCTCGACGTGCAACATGCGGCGCAGACGACATTTTTTTCCTGTCAACCACAGGAGAGAGAGGAGCCGCGGTGCCGGCGCCGCCATCAACGCAACAGTTCAATGACAACAAAATACTCCGCAACACGTGCAGTCATGCAATCTGAAGCGCCCCGGGGCTGTCCGGCACCGACAGTCAAATGGCGCCGACATTCTCCCAATCCAAATCGGCGCTGGTACGCGGTCGCCTTACCGGCGTCACCTGCGTTACCGGATATGAGAAAAGAGAGCGCTCGAGCTGGCGCCGCTACTCGTGCGGGATGCAAACAAACGATGCCATCCATGCACTTGAACGCTTCTTTTTCCCACGGTCAATTGTTGAACTTTAGTAAAACGCAAAGTGGATGACGACGGGGACATTTTCCCAAGGAAAAAAAACCACCAGCCTTATTTTCCACACGATCTTCAAAGGAAAATACAATCGTCCATCATGACAGCGTAGCGCGGTTGAGTGCGCCGCCGAATCATTCCACCGTACGGCGGTGCAATTACTCAAGTGCAAGTCGTCGACCTCGAGAGGGAAACGGCGGCCAAACGCGGCTCATCAAAATACAGGCACAGAAGCGGCACGTCCTCGCCCCGGTCCTCATTCGCTGCGACTTTCGAGTCGCTCAACGACTCCTTCCCTGATTTTGTCTATCTCGGGGAGGGGGACGCTTGTGGAAAGGAAGCCCCCCGACCACAAGGATCGCCGCACGTGTGACCGACGACGCAGAGCGGGATTTCTCGCGTTGGCCGCGTCGCAGGGTCTCAAGAGAAAAAGCGGAGGCTCAACTTCAAAGAGGCAGTGAGCGCCACATTCATCATGACTGATGGAGGACAGCACAGAAAAAGTTTTGCTCCACCCTTTGACGATCGAGGCCACAGTCAAAGAACACGTCAGGTAGTTATCGGCTCACAGATTTGGCGTCACTAGAATGCAGTCCAGGAAGTTTGTTTGTTTGTTTGTTTTGTTTGATGTGACGCTCGTCCCTTTCGCCGGTCTCACCTTTGACGATGTGGCGGGCGCAGGTTTGGTACACCTGGAGCTGCTCGCTGTTGGGAGCCAGAACTCGGTCAAACACATACGGCTTGCCCTGAAACACAGGAAACACCCCGCGATGAGTCGATCGTGGTGCGCGTCGGCGTACGGCGAGCGAGCCAGCCGGACAAAAACAAGTCCTTCCTCTTCACGATCCCATTTCGTTGGCCTTTTAGCATCACTGGCGAGTGGTGTTCAATTTACGGTCGCTATATCAAGAAAAACAAAGCAACGTGATCGCCATTTCTCCTCTTTCTGTCGGTCATCTGCAAAGGTTGAATGCAGGCAAACGAGCTCCCTCCGTACGTTCAATTCGTCGTTGTTCTCTCCCAAGAAGGTTGAAAGAGGAAAAAATAAGATTCGACTGACTCTCGAATGAACGTTTGCCTGTCGGTTGCCGTGGCGAGACGTGACCCGACGGAACGAACGCACGCGCGTCCGCTCGGTGACCGACAGCTCGGCCGCGTTCGGCCGCCGAAGGCGGAGTCGCGATCGATCGCCCTCACGGCTGCGTTGTCGCCATGGCAACGCGAGCTCACGGGCGTGAGCGCGCGTCCATCTTTGTTCTCCCGGACAGGAAAACAAAACCGCCGCGTCCTAATCCGTCGCTCGCCAACGAACGCATCCCCACACAAACGTCGCGGCGGCGCGTTCGCGTTCGGAGGCTCGTGTCGTGTCCGCGCCGCGCGACGCGACGCGGCCGCTCGCGTTTGCTTCCGCTTACCGCCAGCACCACCGTGTCGTCGCCGTTGAATTTGGGCAGCGACTGATCCCCGCGGCTCCTCTCTGCGTCGTTCAGCGGCCGGAAGCGACACATCACCTTCACGCCGCACAAGCCGCCCTGGTGGGCCGCGCCCGACATGGTCGCGCTTCGTTCGGCGGGAGCGGAGCGGAGCGAGGCGAGCGTCCGCGAGCGCGCGCGAGGGATTGTGGGACACCGAGTCCTCCGCCGACCGACGCTCTTCGGTCGGTCGCCGAACGCCGAGCGCAAAATGAGGGCGGGGCGTTCGCGACCGAGGAGATTGGAAGCCTCGCGCGCCGCACGGCACCAAACAAAACGCGCATGCCGGCCGGCGTTCACGACTTACAATGCGAGGTCGTTGATGAGTTGACACATGATGTGTCTTTTGTTTGGATTCGGAACGGTTTTCACTTCATACCTTTTGAACGTCGTGTTCTTTTACTGACGAAAGCTTGCTTCACAGGTTTTCATTTCGGAGGAGGGTTTTTTTTTCCATGAAAATTTCAAGTTACGTTTTGACCAGTTGACAATTTCTCTAAGTGTATATTTGATGTGGTTTACAATATTCTCATGATACATTTATATTGTAAACAATTTGTATGTATTCGGAAGTTTGTGAATTTTCAAGAAATCGAATGCATTCATCGAAAAAGTATTTCTTTCCAGCGTCAAATAAAGGGCGCAGAAAAATAGCTGAGAAAGGTCCAAACTCGAACTGCAGAGATCAGTAGCATCGCAACGCGTCCAACTCGTCAAACAATGAAACGTTTTGAAATAATTCAAGTGGATTCTTGTAATATTTCAACTTTATTCTGGTTGCGTTACAACTAATTGAGGTCATATTTGCACGTGGCCCTGATACTCCTTGATCAGAGTGCACCGTGTACACACACACACACACACACACACACACACACCACGTCCAGCGCTGCAATGCAACCGTGACAAAGCTGTACGAATGTGGAAACTACTGTCGTTGAGTCCAGGACACAATGACCTAAGCCGGGAAGGTTTTTGTCATCTTCATCTGGCTCGCCCGCCTAGCGCTGAGGGTTGCACACTCCTGGCCATTTTTGACACCGGAAGATTTCCATGGAAATCACGAGGAAGTCATGGAATTGTCGGGATTAAATCGGGAATTGATTCAGATGACGGTTGGATGATTTGATTGGATCGGAATGCATTCGCAAACCCCCAAAGTTTGTGAGTGGCCGCAGTTGCCGCCAGGCGGCGGCAAAGCACGCGCTTCGGCGTCACCTCGCGAGCCATCGGAAAGGTGGAGGGAGGATTTTCTGCCTCTCTCGACGCACGTCGACATACTTCCTTGCTGCCACCAAAATGAAACCGCCGAGTTTTCGCGTGAATAACGTTGGACGGGTTAAAAAGACAAATGTGCCGCTATATTTCCAAAATGACCCATCTTGACTTCCCATGGAAATCCGGGCTCAACGTTTTCGCCCGGCCGCCCGACTGGCGCGACGCGGGCCAAAAAGCCACGGACGGAACCGCGCGTTGGGGATGGCGAATTGGCCGGCGGCGGTTCATCGCCGTTCAATCGGACGCGGGACGAAGGGGTTCCTCGGCCAGAGGATCCGGATCCGGCGCGCTTGAAGCGGTTCCTATAAAACCGACTCCATGGTTTCGCAATACTCGTGGTCCGACAGGTTATATATGAACTGCGTCCTGTCCGCTTTGGGGGCCTCCGAGAGCGACGGGTAGAAGTCGGCGGGCGCCACGTTGGCCTCGTGGCTCTTGATGTAGGCGTCGTAGTTGCGGCGGAGGCAGAACCAGGTGGTGGCGTAGAGGAGGAAGGCCACCGCCTTGAGGACGATGGCCAGGCTCACGTACAGCCGGCGGTACGACAGGTTGTCGTACAGCAGGCACGCGCCTTTGTCGCCGCAGTCCGAGCTCCAGAACAGGCACGTGGAGTCGATGCCCGCCCCGAAGATCAGGGGCGGCGGGATGAAGCCTGGGGGAACACCGAACGGCTTTTCTTACTTTGAACTCATCGGGGGTCGACGACGACTCGCGTCCGTTCCCGCGGAAACGTGCGGCGGCGAGCCCGGGTTACCTCGTCGGAGGCCGACCGCGCGCGCGTCTACGTCCAACAGTTTACGACGACCGTCGTCGCGGTATCCGAAGGCCGAGCGGTGACGCCCGAAGAAGGATTTTCATGGTAAAAATGCACTTTGACCGCCAGTCGGAGAGTCATCGAGTACGCACCCACAATTGGCCGTTGAAGAAGGCGGTGAGGACAAAAACTGCGGCGGCAATTATGCTCGCGATTTCAAAGATAGCGGACGACACATGAGCATTGCTAGAATTGTTTGTTTTTTTTGGGGGGGGGGGGATTCCTTCAATTTTTCCTGCACACCAAAAGTGGAGCCCTGGTAAATAGAATACTGCAAAGAAGGGGGCATTTCTGCATGAAGAACGAGGGTTAGGGTAGTGACGCTCGTTGGAATTACAAAAACACACGTGGGGGTTTTCCCCGAAATACGGACAGGGGTAGGCTGCCCCGGTTGAAATGGTCCAAAATATTTTAAAAGCGATTGGGGGGGGAGCCGCAAATCCGCTTGGGTAAGTGTGCTCCCGTTCTCATTGGGAGACTCGTTCCTATCGTGAAGAGACTTCACACAATAAGAATTTGAGGCCGCACGGTCCGGCGTCACTCTCTCCATTAGGTCCAAGTCCATCTGCATTTGGGTCGCACAACAATTGGGGCTCGACAGCGTTAGTCAACAGCAGCCCTTGTTGCTCTCGAAACGAGCTTCGTACATCTGCGCAACATCGATATTGAACACATTCAATTACGTCGAGGCTACGTGTGGTGTTTTCATCGTTTGTTTTTTTTTTTTCCAGTCACTTCAATGTCTCCTCTGATTCCCAAATGACATTTGGCGCTCAAGTTCTGCTCTACCGCTGCCAACTACTCCAGTGACAAGAATGAGAAAAGCTGTTGACTATCCAGCAGTCAGAATGCCCCCCCGCAGCATCAATATTGCGCATCAGACAAGACGTGAGCGTGTCCTACCCAAGAGTCGCAGCAAGAGAAACAAGACGCCGAGCGCGTACGACTTGAGTTCGGGGGTGACGGTCCTGATGAGAACGATGACGGAGGGCGTCTGGGCCATGGCGCCCACCAGGCTGCACAAGCAGATGATGCACAGGAAGATGAGGAAGGCCTCCTGGCAGCCGGCCGTCGGGCATTTGCCCGCAACCGCCGTGGCTAATTCGCTCTCGGGGGAGACGCAAGCGCATCCGCTCAGGTTCTGTGCGCAGAGGAGAAAAAAAAAAAAAAAAACAAACAAAGCCAAAAAAGACGGTTGACGAGACAAACGCCTCCGTGCACGCGACAGGATGTGCGCCGGGCGTGACGTGACGTGACGTGACGTGACGTGACGTGTGTCGGCTTGAGGAAGGAGGCCAAAGGTGTTCGATTCGGTTATAGCGGCCTTGGCCGTTGCACATAAGCTGGGAGCGGACGAGCCAGTACATTAAAAAAATTTTTTTTCATTATTCCAATACGTTACTTAAAACATGAGAATGTATCTGTCGGCACCATCTGAAAGCAAACCTTTGCAAAAATAGTCTTTGAATCAACAGTGCAAAATAAACATCTGCTTTCATAAAAAGGGAGAGGAACAGGATTGTCTTTGCTGTCCTGTGTCACCCATTCACGGAAACGTTTTAAAAAATAAAGAAATCGATAAAAACGGACGGCCACGATACGTAATAACACAAACGACATTGAATTTGAATCCACGTTTGAATGCGGAATCGTTCAAAAGAGGACATGAAATCTCTTCACCACATCATTCATTGTGCATTTTACGAAACTGAGGCTCTGCAATATTACGTTCCGTTGGAGCTGCCCCGGTTGAAATGGTCCAAAATATTTTAAAAGCGATTGGGGGGGGAGCCGCAAATCCGCTTGGGTAAGTGTGCTCCCGTTCTCATTGGGAGACTCGTTCCTATCGTGAAGAGACTTCACACAATAAGAATTTGAGGCCGCACGGTCCGGCGTCACTCTCTCCATTAGGTCCAAGTCCATCTGCATTTGGGTCGCACAACAATTGGGGCTCGACAGCGTTAGTCAACAGCAGCCCTTGTTGCTCTCGAAACGAGCTTCGTACATCTGCGCAACATCGATATTGAACACATTCAATTACGTCGAGGCTACGTGTGGTGTTTTCATCGTTTGTTTTTTTTTTTTCCAGTCACTTCAATGTCTCCTCTGATTCCCAAATGACATTTGGCGCTCAAGTTCTGCTCTACCGCTGCCAACTACTCCAGTGACAAGAATGAGAAAAGCTGTTGACTATCCAGCAGTCAGAATGCCCCCCCGCAGCATCAATATTGCGCATCAGACAAGACGTGAGCGTGTCCTACCCAAGAGTCGCAGCAAGAGAAACAAGACGCCGAGCGCGTACGACTTGAGTTCGGGGGTGACGGTCCTGATGAGAACGATGACGGAGGGCGTCTGGGCCATGGCGCCCACCAGGCTGCACAAGCAGATGATGCACAGGAAGATGAGGAAGGCCTCCTGGCAGCCGGCCGTCGGGCATTTGCCCGCAACCGCCGTGGCTAATTCGCTCTCGGGGGAGACGCAAGCGCATCCGCTCAGGTTCTGTGCGCAGAGGAGAAAAAAAAAAAAAAAACAAACAAAGCCAAAAAAGACGGTTGACGAGACAAACACCTCCGTGCACGCGACAGGATGTGCGCCGGGCGTGACGTGACGTGACGTGACGTGACGTGACGTGACGTGTGTCGGCTTGAGGAAGGAGGCCAAAGGTGTTCGATTCGGTTATAGCGGCCTTGGCCGTTGCACATAAGCTGGGAGCGGACGAGCCAGTACATTAAAAAAATTTTTTTTCATTATTCCAATACGTTACTTAAAACATGAGAATGTATCTGTCGGCACCATCTGAAAGCAAACCTTTGCAAAAATAGTCTTTGAATCAACAGTGCAAAATAAACATTTGCTTTCATAAAAAGGGAGAGGAACAGGATTGTCTTTGCTGTCCTGTGTCACCCATTCACGGAAACGTTTTAAAAAATAAAGAAATCGATAAAAACGGACGGCCACGATACGTAATAACACAAACGACATTGAATTTGAATCCACGTTTGAATGCGGAATCGTTCAAAAGAGGACATGAAATCTCTTCACCACATCATTCATTGTGCATTTTACGAAACTGAGGCTCTGCAATATTACGTTCCGTTGGACTCAAGATTCCAATGCACAAAAAGCACTTTTGGGGGAGTTGGGAGGAGAGACACAAGCGACCTGGGCGGGGGTCCGCCCTTCTGGAGTCACCCACCCCGCCGCTAAGGTTGCCCATGGAAAAAGATGACTTCTTTTTGGTAGTTTCTGCCATGGGATGGAATTTCCATTTGAATTTGTGGGAAAAACAAACACCCAATCAAAGCAAGCACTCTTTTCTGCTTCAAAAGAACGATGCGTTCAACGCGGCTCCAAAAGTCGTTCCGAGAGGGCGGGACGGAGTTCGCGGTTTTAAAAATCGACGGAAAAACGCGTACGGAACATAGCGGCAGATGAATCGATTGCATTTCCTACTTTGTTGTCGAACTGCCAAAAATGACACGATACGTCATTGGCGTTTTTTGTGCGCTCCCTCGCGACGCGGCCGATCGATTGCGGCGTCGGCGGCGAGCCGAGTTGCGGTCGGCGTGATGCGAGGCGTGACGCAGACCTGCCCGACGGCGCGGGTGCATCCGGCGAAGCAGGCCGACAGGTAGGTGACGCCGTCCGAGCCGCACACGGGGCTGATGGACGACGTGAAGCAGTTGCACCGATTGATGCACGGCGCCTCGGGCCTCTTGCCCACCTGCAGCGTACTGAACACAACACGGCCGCTTACTACGGGGGGACGCTCCAAACCCGCGCCCGTTCAACTCTCCACTCTTGAGTAGGCCCCCCACGGCGTTTGGACGGCAAACGCGGCTTTTACGGCGAGGGCGAGAAGTGGAGAGATCAAAGCGGCGCGGGGTCGGCGGCGATGGCGATGGCGCGCGTCCTTACTTGTTGCGAGCGATGGCGGTGACGCCCGCCACGGAGCCCGTGTCGCAGCCCAGGAAGAGGAAGGACACGTAGCAGGCGGTGGAGATCAGGTTGACCAGCATGGCCATGCGAATGGCTCCCAGCGCCGACAGGTTGAGCTTCTTCACCAGCAGGCCTCCCATGAAGATGCCCAGGCAGGCGCAGGGGATGGCCGTCATACCTGCACAAACGCGCACCCACACCCACACACACACGACTTCGCTAACGCCAAAGTTCAGCCGGACTCGGCGGCGTGCTTGACGCCGACGGGTTCGCTTTCGGGGCGGACGTGCAGACCTAGCAGCTGGTTGGCCGAGGTGGTGGTGAGGTTAAATTGCTGCTCCAGGTATTTGGCCAAGAAGGCGGCGAAGCCGGCCACCACGGCGATTTCCATGCAGGCGGCCAGGACGATGCAGGTGAACACCGGGTTGGACAGCAGGTGTTTGGTCACCTTGGGGATCACTGCGGGCCAAAGCCGACGACAATGACGCGAGGAGAAGGGCTCGCTTGCGCGCTTCCCGTCTGAAGCGAGAACTCGCGAGGTCAACGGGCCCGCGACGCGATCGCTCGGAGGCCCTCAAACAAGTCCGCCGCCGTCTTTGCCGTCGGTGGCTTTGCGCAAAAGTTAGAAGCAAAGGCAAACGGCACGATACGGCGCGGCGCGGCAGCTTCATTTATGTGGCGCACTTGAGACACAAGGTGCTCGACATCGTTCAAAAAAATGATGTCGACACTTCAAGGCATTGAAGAATTCAAAACATCAAAAGCAAAAAACAAGGACTCGCGACATTTGAAAAGCAAAGTGGAGAAAAAGGAGCTCGAAATGATGCCAGATGTCCCGCGCGAGAACAACACTTTTGGACAAATCGATTGGAGCAACAAGAGCCCAATGGTGGGGTTGAAGCTGCATTTGAAAGCATTTCCACTCTTTTATCGGCAGCCGATTTACCGTTTGCGCGCGGGATAAGCGTTGAATGCGAATGCGCCGCGTTTGCTCGGCGCTCCGGGCCGCGCGAATTCACCCGCGTCCGGAGACCTCCGAAGCCGACCGGCTCGGCATCGGATTGGCGCCGAGCCTTTAGGACTGGAGTCAGACGCCCCCGCTCTCCGATTGCGGTCGGAACCCGAGCCGCGCTATTCTGAATGCGCGTTTGAGAAGGCGCGCCGTTGAAGGCTCACCCCTGAGTTGCTGGCAGCAGGTGGGGCCGGCGGCGGGCCGGCGGGCGCCGTCGCCGGGCTTGGGAGCCTCCGGGTTTGGAGCCGGGGGGGCGGGGGGCAGCATGGCCCGCTCGCTGTCGGCAGCCTCCTCGCCGTCCTCGCAGGGCAGCGACTGAGGGAAGCCGAACATCGGCAGCGCCGAGCAGAAGAGGAGGGCGGCGCACAGGAGGAAGCCCGCCCACCAGGCGCCGATCCACCGCGGGTCTTCCGGGCTGATGCCCAGCTTATCTGCGAGCACGTGCGGCCGGGTCACATCCGCCCCGTGCCGGGGGAGGCGCGCGCGCACGCGCATTTACTGAGGCGACTCACCGGCGTCGATGAAGATGGCATCCACGTAGAACTTGGTGCAGACGGAACCGAGGATGAAGCCGCAGGCGGGCCCGAAGACCAGCGTGGAAAAGAGGATTCCTGCACGCGGCGCATGACAACGCGGATGTGAAATCGGAACCCTTTCGCTCCGACATCATTTGCACGCCAGCGGCAAAAAGTCCAACTGGAAGCAGAGCGGCCTCGAGCTACGTAGTTGACACGAGCGGAGCAAAACCAACATTGATCGGAAGCTTCTGGAAGAGACGGCGGCTTCAGCGCGAACGCTGCTGCTCTCCCAAGAAAAGAAGTCATGAAAACTCACGACTGCACATTGTCGGATTTTGTAGTTCGACGAGTGTGTGTAAGTGTACATCCATCCATCTAGATGACAAACGCGCACGCGCGCTCCTCCGGTCCGTGAGCGCTCGCTCGTATGAGCGGAAATCAGGAAATGAGCTCCAGCACCGAATCTTGGCGCTCGGTCCGCATTGCGGCCCGATCCGGCGCCGTCTCGTTTTGGCCGCGCTTGCGTCAAATCAAGCGCGAGCCATAAAAAAAGCTCCCTTGTCGGCAACAGCGGTGACATCGCGCGCACTTGGTGTCCCAAGTCAAGACAGAGCCCCTCTTCACAAAGAGGCGCACGTTTTTGCTGAGAAACGATATCATTCGAGGGGGGGCGTCAAAAAGACGCAATTTGGAGGACGTGACCCAAGTTGGACATCTTTGGCTTTTCACTGCAAAGCGTCACTGAAGTGGAGGTGCAACAGATCCAATTGCGTGCGATGTCACAGCGGACATTGTCAGATTCCCCAATGTGGCCCGACGCGACATGAAAGCAGACCGATCGTCTTTGCGCGGAGACGTTTTTCCTCGGAAAACCACGGCGACAACATTTTTGCCCATTTTCTGACACGATAGCGAACAAAGCGGTCGCGGAATCGTCATTTGGGAATCGTCTGTGCTGCCAATTTGAAGTCATGTCCGTGGAAATTGAAAGTGTTTTGAGTTTTCAATCTAATTCATCCATTCGTGGGAAAAAAAGAATGGACAGATTCATCAATTGTTGCCGTCATCATCCTCTATCAAGAAGCTCTTGATGCATTTCAGCTTTCTTCCCTGCATGCCCGCATCCATCGAGTTTAGTCACGTCAACCGTCTTATGATCCAAAATATCCGCATGCATATCCACGTGCGTCTCGCTCTCTCTCTCTACACACTATAACGCCTCAGCCAAGCGACACATATTGGTCGATCATTTCTTAAGCGCGCGCGGAGGAGAATGGACGGCCGCGGGCTCCTTCGGCGAGGCGCGGGCGCACCAAAACGCATTCGGCCCCGGAAGCGGCGAAGCGCTCAACAAAGTTGTTTGCGCCGCAGCTCACCAAAGCCCTTCGGCACGCTGTCAATTAGCCTCCCGGGGGAGTACATCAGACGTTAATTCAATCACCGAGATCTGCGCTCGTCTTTTTGCCTCCACCTAATTTGTTTAGAGAGCAAGAGAGCGAGGCCGGCAAAGTCAGTGCCCGCGAGCCTTTCCCTTTCCGCGCTCGGAAAAACGCACAGGCGCGGACGGCCGCTATTGTTTGAAACGAACAGGAATGGCGCAGGTCACGCTTGGGGAAAAAAACAAAAAAAAACAAACCACACAACACCACCAGCTCGGTCGGTTGTCGTTTCACAAGGCAACGATACGGCGCGCTGCGGAAAACGTCACCAGAAACGACCGATCTGCCGCTCGGTAAGGTATCACTTGGTCCGCGAAAAATAGGCCGAGAGGAGGTCCGTCGCATCAAGAAAGCGGCCAGATTGTTGGCGGGAGCGCGTCCGGGCCCAAGGACGACTTAGCGATATTGCTTCATTTCCCCCCCTCCCCCTCCACCGTTGATTGACAATTCCACGGATTCAAGCGCCGGGACATTTGCTCCGAGCCGTGTGGCGTCTTCAACGCGTGGCCCGCGGGCGACGGCGGCTCATTTGGCAGTACGGGGGAGGCACGAAAATGCTCGGACCTCAGAAAGAGCCCTGGACAACTTTGCAGCAGGCGCAAATGTGGCCGACGTCACGGCTTCATGAGAATACAAACGCGAGCGACGGGGCCGCGTCCGCGGACCCATTGGGCGTTTTTTTTCCCCCCCTAAAGGTCCCAAAGGGCCTTCGTCTCCCGCAGTAATCCCGCTCAAATTGGCTCAGTAATCCAGCCAGATAAGACACGGCAGCCTGTGCCGCTTCTGCGACCCGACCGCGGGGGCCGGCTTGATCCTCGTCGACGGCAAAGGGCGGGGTTAACGCCTACCCGTCAAAAGGGCAACGAAATGCCACAACAAAGACGAAGACGGCGCGCGGACGTCCCAAAATGGCCGACAAAAGGCGGCCTCGCGGCGAGGTCAGAATTTGAGAGAGCGAGGTGACCGGCGTCGGAGGGCCGCACGCTCCCCTAATGGCCGCCGCCGTCAAATAACGGCCGTATTAGCATTCGAATCGTACTCAAAAGCGATTTACAGCGCGGGGATGAATGGAGGAAGACTACCACAGCTGTACAGTCGATTCAAAAAACAAGAAGTGATATCGGCAGCCCGTTGAGGACGACAGGCGGGTTCATTGCGGCGGATGTTTCCCGTCCGCCCGCCATACTGTCGGTGGAGCCGCACCAGACGTCAAGCTCAACATATGGGAAACTTTTTTTTTTTTTGGCTTCTATGGAAACCTCCGTTCATCCATGAAGCGAAGCGGTTTAGCCTCAGGAGGGTGAGGGAGCCCATCCCAGCTGCCTTCGGGCAAAACACGTTCAACTGCTCGCCAGCCGATGGCAGGGCCCCCAATTTCGAGCGTTCAAGAAACCATCGAGCGGCTTTTGTTCAGAATGCGGGAGGAAAGCCGAGTACCCGGGCAAAAGCCACGCGGGCGCGGGGGAGCTCCAGCTTTGGCTTGGTTCTTTTCAAAATTGCTCCTTCGACCCTGCGCGATATCGTCCTTGCGATCACGGGCGCCAGGATGCGGCATTGAGCCGAGAGCAAAACAATTTCCCGCGTGCCTCGAGCGTCATTCCGAACGTATGCCCGCAAGCGTGTCCGGGGTCCAAGTCGTCGGGATGGCTCGTGCGGAGCTCGGCAACACGAAGGGCCGCGCCAAAATCGTGCAGCCCGTTCGGTCGCTCCCAAACCACAAACAACAACCACGGCGGCATCTCCCAAAAGCGCTCAATGCGAAAACTGCGCATTGAGCGCTTTGCCCTTTTGAGGTCTTTGCACAAGTCCCCCCCACCGGCGTTGCGGCCGAGCTGTGATCCGCTCTTAGGCCACGTGGGCCCCCGGAAGCCGAGTGCCACCAACGTAATCTTTTGAGGCCGATTAACCCCGGCCGGGGTCAAGAAGGCCGAAGAGCGCTAATTGACCTCAATCAATCTCAATTCTTTTACACGCACGCACGCGCACGCACATCCCAAAAAAAAAAAAAGGATTTATTTCAAAGTAAGAGGCTTCCATATGATATTCTTGTCTGTGGGGAGTTACTCAAGTTTGAGTTGCATTTTGGCGTAAATCAGGAATTGATCGACGTCTGGGCGACGATGACACTTGGAAAGGAACGTGCCATATTTGCCAACATACGGGCCTGGCAAAATCAACGTGTCATGACAACATCGAACTCGAGCGGCGTGGGCTGTCGGGTGAAACGTTTCCACTCTGCGGTGGGAGGTCCGCCTTTCATCAATATCTCTCAACAACATTTCTGAAGAATAGAAATATCGGAACCGATCGTCGGTCCCGTCAATAAGTCATCCCGGACTCTAAATGATCAATCAGATGATGGGCACGCGCAAATGAATGGACACGCAAATACTCGTGATCGAGGAAGCGTCAAACGAAGCGAAGCAAAGCGAGACAGACACGATAGACCCGCACTGGCAACAAACCGCGAGCGTCCGGAAAGTATTTGGACCGCGTCGATTTCATCCGGCGCAGCCCCGCACGGTTTCTCGCCGGGGGTCTTCGGGTCGGGTCGCAGGTGAGCGCGGCCGACCCCGAGGGGTTCATCGCCTCGGGAAGACGTTTTGGCAAGGTTGCGCGCAGGCGGCGACAGACGAGCCTCACAATGAGCCGTTCCCGCAGAAATTCAACCTCCGATCGTGAGAGGCACGCGCGCTCCGCGCTGGCACGCGACGGAAGAGCGGCGGCGGCGGCTTTGACGCTGCGCCGGGTCGGTCGACCCGTGGGTCCGTGACTGCGTATTTTGCCGTCCGAGTCGGCGACCCGGAGCAGCGTTTTGCTCATTGAAAGCGCCGACCAGCCTTTCGCGGTACGCGCGCACGACCCAGCCCCCCGCGAGCCGCTCGGCATTCCTGCCGCTCTGCGCGGCAATCGCGCCTCGTCGCGGGGCCTCCGTTCCGTTCCGTTGCGCGACGAGGCAGGACGCGTCTCGCTCAAGTCTTTCAATTCGCACCGGCTCCGATTTTAGCCCGCCTGCGACGCGCTGCCGGCCGACAACGAGCTTGCCGAAAACCTCCCGAGACGAGCTCCAAAAATTCCGGTGACGCCCCCGTCCCCAAAATAAACAAAAGCAAAAGTCAGTCGGTCGGTTCCGAGCGGTTTTCCAGAAGATGTCCGTCTCATCTACGTCAAGCGCTGGTACTCGAAGGATTTGTGGTGATCGCCGCCTTTGCTCACGCCTCCACATATCCGATGCGCGTCGTCGGCGATACGGCAGGAAGCGTTCCCGCACGCGCCTCGTTGTGTGAGGAGAGGACGGACGGACGGGCGGGTACCCTCGTTCAGCCGCTGGATCCGAGCGGCGGGCGGGACGGACGAGACTCTTCTCGGGAATTCTAGCGGAACGCTTCGCGGGCCGGGCGGCGGCACCCGTGCGCCGGCGCGGCCGTCCGCAAAGCACGCGACTCTCGTGCGCAAAGCGGAGGCACGCGCGCTCCGCGCTGGCACGCGACAGAAGAGCGGCGGCGCAGCCGTCCGCAAAGCACGCGACTCTCGTGCGCAAAGCGCTTCTCCCGTTTTCAATCCTCTCCAAAGTGGGACGGAACGCCGCTCGGATTCACCCCGACTGTTTGAAAAGCCGCCAACGGGGCGAGCGTACGTCACCCGCCCTCAACCCGGCAACGTTGGCGTTCCGGCGAAATCCGAGTCCGCGGGACGTACGCTGTGCAAAAGCCGGCGGGGACGAGCCAATCGTCCGGCCGCACGACGACACGCGCGCGCAAACGGCCGAAGAATGCAAAGGAAACGGACGAGCGCACAATCTCCTCCATTCACGCGGCCGGGGCGGCGTCACGCGACAAGGCTGGCGGGGGGATTAGGACCGTCAGCTGAGCGCCACTCAATAGCGCATTGTTCCCCGCCGCTCCGAAGCGCCGCCGCTTATCGCGGGCGGACGGATCCGAGGGCCAAATCCGAGGGCTCCCGGCGCGCGTCCTCGCTCTCGCGTGCGAACCGAGAGCGGGCCCGCCGCCGCCGCGGCGAGGCCTTTTGGGCGCCTCTCGCCGTCCCCCGTCCACCCCCCCAAACCGAGCCGCGGGGCGCTTCCCCCCTCCGGCGCGCAGCCGTGCCGATACGACGCTCCGGATCACCGGAGCGACTTCCCTCGAGGCCAATTTGGCCGCACGTCACCAAATTTCTGGCGTCTCGTCGGCGGAACATCGGGGAGGCGCTTGTCGCGGGAGCGCTTCGTTTGCGCGCAGAGTAGATCTGAATTCCTTCAGACGTAAGCATCGGAGGTTCTCGTACGTTTCCAACTGGGGACGATCGGCCTTCACGGCGCGCCGCCGCGGGAGCGACTTTCCGTCCCCATTCAAAGAAACGCGAAAAGAAATGAAACGACGTTGGATTTCTTCACAGGAAAACGCGAGCAAATTCGTCCGGCTTAAGACGAACATACGATCGGGAGGACGGCCCTCGGCAAACGAGCGTCACGACGGCGATCGAGCGAGCGGAGCCCCCGGCGTGGCGTGAAAATGACAAAGGAGGACGTCTCGCTTGGTTCGATGCCCTCCGCCGCCCGCCATCGTTTTGAAGGGCTGACAACGCCGCAGCCATTTCGAGTTGCGCGCGCCGTCCACGGCGTTTCGAGGTCCTCGGCGCGGGTCCCGCGCGATCGGAAAGCCCGATCCGCGTCGCGGCGGCGTGTCGCTCACCTATGTAGAGGGAGGAGTCTTTCTTCTTGACGTGATCGTCGATGTAAGACACCCCCAGAGGCTGCACGGGCGTGGCCCCGACGCCGAGCAGGACCTGGGCCCCGATCAGGAGCAGGTACATCATGTTGGTGTTGCTGCGGTTGGCGCACGCGGCGTCCTCGGCCGACTGGACTTCGGCGCCGCTGGCGTTGGAGCACACGTCGCGCCCCGCCTCGGTCCTCCACGTGTCGCCGATCTCGTACTGCTTGGTCAAAAACTCGGGCAGCGCCGAGAGGAGGGCGCCGAGGGCCATGACCACGCCCCCGCAGCCGATCAGCCGGGGCCGGTGCGCCTTGGCCCCGAAGTAGCTGACGAAGAGGATGAGCGCCAGGTTGCCGATCTCAAAGCTGCTGGCGATCACGCCCACGTCGGCGCTTTGCAGGTTGAAGCGCCTCTCCAGCGTGGTCAGGACGCTCACCTGCGGCACAAAGCTTTGCTTACCACCCAACGTTTGGCGAGAGAGACGGCGAGATGGGCCATGATTCGGTTTGGGACCACCGGGTGGCCCCGTAGGGCTTCCCCTGCAGCTGCACACCTGTTGGTCATTAGTGCTTTAAAAGGACCCCCAGCCCGACCGCTCATTGTCGGGTCATTTTTGCTCTCTGCTGCTGTCAGGTTTGTTTTGGTCACGGTTCTGTTTTAGCTTCAGTTATGATTTTTGTTTGATACTTTGGACTGTGTTTGTTTTGGATTGAGTTTTCTCTGTTTTCATACACTTCAAGTCCAACCTGCTCCTCCCTCCTGCCTGCTTTTTTGGGGTCCACCGCCACCTCGCTATGTGACAAGATGGGAGGACGAGGCCCGTTTGTCGGGAGACGATCCGGTCCCGCGCTCAACTTCTCCCGGCCGTCACGCCGGAACCAATCGCGCGGGAGGTGCCGATCGCGTCATCAAACGCTCGATGGCGTTCCGTGGCCGCCCGTTCCGCTTTTTTTCATCTCGCGCACGCGATTTGGGCCGATTCCTCATGAAGCGCTCCGTGACACGTCCGGCCGGTTCCCAGGCTATTTTCAAACCGGCGGCGAACGGTCCCCGGGGCCGGAATCAACATTTTCCATTCTCTCAGCGGCTCCTCCAAATTGTCTGCGGCGATGAGAAGGAGTCCGAATCCGCCGGCGGAGCATTTTTGCACGCAGTTCTCCCGACATGACGCGCGCGCTTATTTCGGACGGCTGCCCGTCAGGCTCGGCCGGCCTCGACCTCGCGACCGCTGGTCTGGGTTGGCCGCATGAGCAGAAAACGGAGGCGTGGCCGCAAACCAAATGACTTGATCGAAATCGCTTCGCACTCGAGTAAGACTGGACATGAAATTGGCCGACAGCTGCCAGATCAAACCTGCGCGGACAAGTCAAACAAACAAAAGTAGCATTTGAACAGCCATCCAAGAGTAGAACGTGGGAACACTCTTTTAAGACACGTACATGTCTGGAAAAATCTTGGAGCTCCGTTTGATGACTCGCCATGAACCTTGTAAGTCTGTTTTTGGGTTGTGGTATCAGAGCTTTTTTTTATTGAGTACGAGTACGGTTCAGATGTCCAGCTTGAATGCAATCAGATCCCGAGCTAAGATGAAGGCCCATTTTGTCCTCGATAGAAATGACAATCATCACCGCTCGCCGCACAAAAAGCAATTCAACGTGCGCCTCCACAAAACCCACTTCAGCCAATCGGAAACCTGAAGTGAGGTCAAAGTCATTTTGGGCAAAGTTTGGAGCGGAGAAAAGCAGGCGCGGGCCACCGAGCTGCAACGGGTCTTCACCGCAGACGAGCCGGGGCCGCTTTTGGGCAAGAAGTGCGCCCCGAACTGGTCTTCAGCGAACCGCGGGGCAAAATGGCTCGTTCTCTTCAGTCTCCAATGAATGAAGCGCGCTTGTTTGGGGAAGCCCAACGAGCTGGAGAAAGGCCACACCAACAAGGTAAGGAGATGCCCGCGCCACACGGGGGGGGGGGGACGCGGTTTGAACTTGAAAAGCGCGAGACAAACTTGCCGAGCGACCGGCAGGCGTCCGTGCGGCCCGCCGTCGCTCTTGAGTAGACTCGAGCGCGACCTCAAACCCGAGTGGCATCGGCGTCAAAGTGGAAATGGAATATGTTGTAGCGGTCGGCGGCGGCGCGCTCACGCGCAAAGGACACGGGGAGGTCGTGAAAAGGAGTCGGGCACCCACCGCAGAGGCGCAAGTGGCAGCAGGCGCTTTTCCCAGCTGCCGCCTCCCCGACGAAAGTCTTTATCACGGCGCAAACTTTGAAACCGGCGGCGACGTCGCTTCCTCTCTGGCGTCTTTTCCTCCCTCTGGATCACGGCCGACCGGCCGCGCCTCGTCCCGAACGCGAGACCCGACCGACAGCTGAAGAGCGCGCTTGGCACGCTCGCGCGCTCGGACTCTGACGCCGAGCGGGCGGCCTTCCAAGATTTTTCGAGGTTGCGGAGTGCCCGTTGGTGAGACCGCAGCTGCAAGCTGTCAACCTCGCTCGCTCGAAAAAAAAAAGGGGGGGGGGGGGGGGGAGTGTTTACCGCGTCGCCACGGCAACAAAATAAACCTCGCCCAGTCGCGGGACATCGCGTGACTTCACAGAGACAAATAGGAGTCTCTTTCGGGGAGCGAGCTTTAGCACTCAAGGGGATGCGCTTGAAACGTCGCCCTTCGGTCATCAAGTCGAAGCCATCTCATCCTCCTTCCGCTCAAAGTGTCAGTTGAGCGGAGAGTACGGGAGGAGCTTTTGACTCGCTCAAACGACAGGCGCGCCTCGACATCCCGGTTCAATGTGTTCCGACGTTTCCGGGCAAACGCCGGCGGAGCTGAAAACACAGCCGGCGCAAATCATCTTTCCTCCTCGGAACCAACGAAACGGCCGCCCTTCCATTCGAGCCGCCGCAAAAAGGCCCAGAAGAAAAAGTTGTCGCATCTTGTTTAAGAAGGACAATCGCACTGCGCCACATCGCACTTCATACAAACTTGGGGTCGTAAAACCATTCAAGAAACAAAACAAAACCGTTTCGGCATGACAACTCGTTTTTTGCAGCTCCCTCCAGTGCGCACGACTCGGCCACTGGGGGGCGCTATGACAGAGTCGCTTTTCTAGCCACTAATGACCTAACGACCAACAGGTGTGCAGCTGCAGGGAAAAGCCCCACAGTGCCACCTGGTGGTGGTCGCAAACCGAAACATGACATTCAGTTTGACGGCGTACTTCCACCGGGGCGGGGTGGCGCAGAAGCGCTTGCGGCCTCTTTTGGGAGAAGCGGTCGGCTCCGAGTTGCCATCGGGTCCAACCTTCCTCTTCCAAAAGCCATTCTTAACTCATTCAGCACCAGCCAATTCTGGACCAAGTCTGAAAAGACGTTTAAAACCGTCTCTGGGAGTGAACGAGTTCACAGATCTTGGTGACGGCTCCCTCCACATGGTGACAAGCGCCTATGCTGTTCAACAACAAGAAGCCGCGCGGGTGTCGGCGGTATCAAAGTGTCACCGGGAAGATTCGGATATGAGCGACGCGATGCGAGCCATTCTTGCCGGAGCGCAAACATCGGGCTTGCGCTCAATTTGGATCAAGACAACAAAAAAGGACACAAAGAGCAGCTCGGCGTCAGGTGAAAGAACTTTGCTACTTGACCTGCGACGTTTGACCGCGTGTTCCGCTGACGCCGGGCGTCTTGATGATGAAGAGCCTCGTGCCGATTGTCAGCTCACGCACACGCACACAATAAAAAGGGCGCCGCCGTGACAGCTTTGGCTTGTCGGCGCGCTGACGGCAAGCGCTTTGAGATGCCGTCATCCAATTAGGAAGTGTCCTAGATCGCGCTTGAGCGTCCGGAAACGCTCCGCGCGCGAGCCGCCGACAAACGTCATACAGCAAAGAGGCTCGGGCGCCGGTCCGAGTCGTCGTCCTTTGGACGCTGACCGACGTGTGCCGACGGGCGTACGAGCCGGAGAGAGGCGCAGCCGTCGGCCGGGTTTGTCGCTCGAGCTTTCGTCAACACCGCCGACGGTCCGGCCCATCGGAAAGCGGTCGTTCCGCCGCGCAAACGGTCCGACCCCCGTGGAAACCGAATGAACAAACGGCAATCCCGAAAGAAAAAAACACCGGCAGCCCCCGACCCGCGGGTCGCCGGGGCCGAAAAGACTTTGTCCGAGCGCCGTTGCCGTCGAGCCCATCTGGCAGCCCGATGACTGTGCACCGCAAAACAAGGATTTGCCCGCTTCCTGATTTCGGGCTTCTTTGCATATTTAGCGCACGCACGCACGCACGGGTTTCAGTTCATATCGCCCAGAGACTCCCCAAGGAAATACGTAACGCAGTTTCAAACTGCCAATTTCATTAATGAAGGCACCAAAAAAATTCTGAAGACCATCCGGCCATCAGTTTGCGTCCTCCAACTCTCAAGCGCTCTTGGATCATGCAGCAGCCTCCAAAAAAACACCAAGTCCACTTTTGAATGGCTACAAAATTAAGAATACTCCTAATCTTTGCGTGTGATCGATACCGACGGTCCCTTTTCACGGCGCTGCACATCCGGTACGCAAAAGGCTCGATCCCCTCGGAGCCTCGGCTCGGAGCCGGCTAGCTCGGGACGCGGCTCACCCGGCTTCTCGAGTCGGGTCGCGATTGGTTGTGACCTGAGCCCTGAACCACCGTGACGCCATTTGCGGTTGACAGAAAGTGGCAAAACTCGCCGTTGGTTTGTTTGTTCCCATGCTGCCTATTTTCGGGTTGAAGCGGCCCGTTTATGGAGGGGAGAAGTTCCCCTTGCGGCTTATTTTACACAATCGGATGAATGACTTCCCTCTAGACTTTTATTTGTTGGAGCCCGAGAAAGCGAGGCTACGGGACTGAGCGCAAGCACTCCAAGGTGCCTCACCCGGAGTCAACGTGGAGAGAGAATCCGGCTCACATGGGACCGTTACATGAAGCTCGTGGACGAGGGGGGGGGGGTCCCGATTTCAGCACACGACAGTGTCCCCGTGCTCTTGACACGGGACGAGTTGCCCTCGCTGGCTGATATGCAGTCGGAAAGTTGCCCCCCACCCCACCCGCGTCACAGGCCACGGCGTGTAAGTTGCCCATCCACCAAACGCCAACTCACCAGGTAAGCTCCGACGGTCCCCTGGGCCAACATGAGGGCGCATTCGGAAATGAGGAATATCTTGATATTGGAGAAGCACGACGACTTCTTGCGGGGGGCGTCCGCCGGCGGCATGTCGTCCCGGGCGCTCCGGCGCGACTTCTTCACCTGCATGCCCGACAAAGTCGGCGGCGGCTCGGCCGGCCGAGGTCCAGGCGCCGCTCAGGGCGTCGACATCGGCGCGGAGCCGCCTCGTCGGAAGCGTCGACTCTCACCCGCGCCCAACAAAACAAACTAGCAAACAAACCCACCCCCCAAAAAGTGGTCGCTCCGAAGTCTACTCGAGGAAGCCGAGCGGCACACGTCCGAGCACCTCGCTGGGTCGCCTAAACGTCGTCGCCGCCGCTCTCCTCTTCCTCTTCCTCTTCCTCTTCCTCGTCGTAGTCGGCGTCGAACGCGCGAGGTCGGCGACAGTGCCGCAAGGCGAGCGAGCATATGGGCTGTGGAAAAAGTGTCCTCCCTCCGCGCGGAGGCTCGGCTCTCACGCTCTCAACTCAAGTCTTCCTCGTCGGGACTGCGAGGCGTCTCCCCGCCCACTCGGAGCTTCGGACGCGGGGCGGAGGGCGCGGCGAGGCGAGGCGAGGCGAGGCGAGGCGGGGGCTCCGCTCACTCTCCGGGACCGGCGCCGCGGCTCCTACGGCCGCTCCCGCCCGGGCCGCGAGACCCTCGTGCCTTGACGAGAGGGCAACTCGACACTTGTGCGGCCTCACAACTCGGACGTGTGACGGGCTGACGCGGGGCCGCGCGCGGGACGACGTCGCCAAATCAGAGGGGGACGCCGCGCGACTTTGGGGCTTTTCGGTCACGTGACGCCTTCTCCTGACGTCACGCGCCAGCCTCGTCAAGACGCCGTCGGCCAACTTTCGGACGTGTTCCGAACCTGGACGAAAATAGACAAGCGCAATCTGGACAAGAGGACGCTGCAGTCACTTGGCAAACACGAAAAAGACTTTCAGATCAGAGAAATAAAAGTGCCCACTGATAAACGAATCTGTTTGTTTTTTCTACCTCTTTGTTGCTATGTTTCCCATTATATATATATATAGAGAGAGAGAGAGAGAGAGAGAGAGAGAGAGAGAGAAACTTTCTTCAATTATGGCGGAAGTGATGCAACAACACGTGATGTTGTTGTCATCCATTCCAGTCTCCCCAAAAAGCCCAGCAGAAGTTTTGGTAATGTGTTTTTGAACAAGAAAAACGATTGTATTTGGTCAAACAAATAACACAATTAAATAAAATGTAAAGGATCAAAGCGTTTCAGGATGAATTCCTTGCGCTTCCTTCTGGTGTGTGCGATTTGGCCACGGGGGTCAGCCTCGTACAGTCATGCAGACACAAACGAAGGAGAGTTTCAACGCTATTGGGACTCAGTAAGATGCAATAATCTTTGTCTTGTTTGTGTTTATTTTCAAGCAGAGAACAAAGATATCAGAAGGTAGAGTCGTGTTGTTCCAAATACAAAAGGTGCACATGGTTTTTTTTTTTTTCCCTTTGGTTTGATGTTTAGTTTGACAGCGAACTGTGGCAACGAACAATTTGAGGCGTCATTTTTGAAGAAAGGTTGGCCGGATGTCAACCTGCCGCTTGTTGCAAAGTGAGTCGACCACAAACCACAAAGCTTGCGTCTCGGACAAAGTTGGGTCACTTCCAGTATATGTTCAGGTAGCGCCGCATATGCTGCGGATGGCAGCCAGCTCTGCCTTCATGGAACGAACCATGTTTTCTAGCTGTGTTCAGTTGACACCTGGTGCAGGATGACGCTGGAACTCATCCCCCGAAGGTCCTCGCGCACGCTCTCAAATTCTCGCGTGTCTTGGCGTGTGACGAGAAAGCGGCACACGCATCTCGGTGCCTGTTTCCATGCGATGGACATTTGGGAAGGCGAGTTGGGTCGTCATCCTGGGCGGCGAGGGCTCGGTCAGGAATGTTTGAATAGATGAGCCGCGTCGTTTTGGATTGTTCTGCCCGGAGGAGGCTATTTTTAGCCTTTGGAAAAAGGGTGCGGACAGCGGGAACGAGGCCCCGCCTGTCGGCCGGGAGACTCACTGGGGGAAGGCGGGGACGTCTCCTGGCTGACGGGAGTTCACTTTTGGACGGACTACCGTGTTGGGTTGCGTTTTCCTGCTTCAACTTTTCAGGGAAAAAGAAACAGACACAACTTTTATCACAGGAGGCAAGAAAGCGGGCCGCGGCAACAAATTGCAGGCTGCGGAGTATGAAAAGAGATTGAAAGAGCCTTGGCAGACGGCTGATTCCACTGCGAGTTTTCGAGACCTTGCGAGGCGTCGCCGTGTTGCTCTGGCCACGAGCGCCGCGCGACGGGAGTCTACTCAGATCACGTCACAAAAAGCAGCGGCACTCAACAACTCTTCTTTTTCTTCTTCTTAAAAAAAAAAAAAAACGGGTTCAAGCTGTTCATTGGCACTCCCGGGTCAAGTTCAATGTCAGACGGACCAGAAACTAATGAGAGTTAATGACGTTTTGCGTCTTGAGAACAACCACACAACTTTGCCTGAAGAACGCCCGCTAAGACGCAACGCAAAACACCACAGAAAGATCGGCGGATGGCATTGATCGTCGCAGTGCGACGCCTTGTAGCGACAGAGGTCGACTTCATACACAAAGGAAGACGCGCCGCCCTGCGAGCATTGACAAAGACAGCGTAGCGGTCAACGAGATTCGCAAGCAGAGCAGAGACAACAAAAGTCGTTTCCCCGTTTTACAAAAACAACGTTCGACGACAACACAGAACGTAACACTTCAAACAGGTCAAAAGTAAAGAGCGAAAAAAACGCTTCTAAAATCGCGAGTTCGCCAAAGGCACGGGGAAAAAAAAGCAAAGTTTGGAACCTGGATTTCCATTCGCACTTGACATCTGTTGGCCGCTTATTCCGTTTGCGTGCGTCAACGCAGCCAAATTCCGCTTCCCCGCGTTTGTTTTGAAAAGTGGCCTTCAAGAGTTGACACCAGTTTGCGGAGCCCCGCTGGGTTCGTTTCGGATCGCTTTTTCTCGAGCGTTCCAACTGCGTCACAACGAGACGGCGCTACTTGGTGTCCAAAGTTGGAGAGACGGCATTCTGTCCACTCGCAAGAAATCCCTCAACATCTCTTGTCCCCCAGAATCGCCGCGCGCGGGGGTGTGTGCGCGCACGCGCGAGGCTTGAGTTGCGTCATGCGAGCGGCAAAATGACGCAACGCATTTCAAGATAGCAACTCAGCTGTCATGTCACTGCGCTTGCCGAATGCGGTCGGAGGGTTCGGGTTCGGTTGAGGTCACGCCATCCACGATGCTGAGGCATCTTGGGAGGTCACCGGAGGTCAAGGTGCAGCTCCAAGTCAACCTGAAGGCACACGCCGCACGCTCGCGAATGTGCAAAGTGTCCCGAGAGGCAGAAGCCGCTCTCTCGCTTTTACGACCCGCGGAGAAGCGGAGCCTGCCGCCGTCGGTCTACTTGTTGCGTTTGAGAAGCGTACGCCGCCGCCGCCGTCTATTTTTACACCGCTACCCATTCCTGGGCCGGCACGCGGCGACGGCGTCTGGGGGACACAAACGTTCAAAGCGACGCGCTCCGCTTTCTCTCTGGGTTCAATCCAGCGGCGAGCGCTCATTTTTGAAGGCGCCTGGACCCGCTTGGCGAGCGCGGTGCATTCGCGCGGCTGTCGGAACGGCAACGGTCAACAAATATGTCCGTCGACGCGTCCGTTTTTCCACTGCCTATCTGCGGCCTTGAATTTGTGAGGATAGCGGCGACGCCCGATGACACCGGCCTGATACTGGTACTTGAGCAAGGCAAGCTGGACAGCGAGTAAGTCCTCCTTCCTCGGCAGCAATTGCCCGGAGATCGCGGCAGGTTGACGCTTGAGCGAATATTTATCGGAAAGAAAGGCTTTTGTTTACAATAAAACATTGGGTGTCAGTCTGAAATCAGCGGAGTCTCCAACAGGCCTTTCCGACACCAAAAAGTGGCATCACCATTGATTGCAACGGAAAACTGTCCATGGATGCGGACATGTTTTGGATCAACTCTTTCCGACACCATCGCCTTTGAGGACACCAAAAAGTGGCATCACCATTGATTGCAACAGAAAACTGTCCATGGATGCGGACATGTTTTGGATCATGATCAAAAGGATCCTAATAGTAACTGAGGGATTCTGACGAGTCGCCAAAGGCAGGTGAAAGCGACGTCCAAGCGTTTGCTAACGGTCCCGTCTCGCAAGGATGAACTCGGAGCTCCTCCATTGAAACGCGGACATCTCGAGCGGGCCGCTTTCAGCGACGGGCGGTCGCGAAAGCGCACGCGATCCGCTCGCGGAGACGCTCGGGGTCGCCCGGAGTGCGCGACGGGTGAGCGGAGAAAAAGCAAAGCAAAGTTTGCAGTGCTGCGAAATCATCTCGGCCTCGGAGCCTCCAGTGGCAGAGAACCTTTTCCGCGCCGGCTGCGATTAGTCAGCCTTGCCCAACGCTCCCCGTCCAAATGTCAGGGGCTAAAATAAGCAAAGGGGGAAGGCGGCCGAGCGCTTCTGATTTCATCCGCTGCTCGAGCGGGCCGTGGCGGATGAGGGCTCGCTTTCGTTTTCCCGGTGGAGGAAACCGCCAGCACGGGAAGGACCTCGCCCCGTTCTGTTCCCAACTCAAACAAAAAGAACAGAGGAAAAAAAAGCTCCAATAAGCCGCTCGGATTCGTTCTCCCCGCAAGAGTTGCCGCTTGGAACCGAAGAAGAAAACCTCGGCATGTGGCGAGCTTCCTTCCCGTTCGCGGAACGTCAACTAGGAGAGCCGATCCAAGTTTTGAAAGGCTGCGATGAAGCAATGTGATACCTTTCCAAGTGAGTGCCAATAAAAAAATAAAAAAGCAGCAGCCCGGTCCTTTTGCTGCTTGTAGTTTGCCGGGCCGTCATATTTGGCCCCTTTCCTGCCATTCAAGAAAACCGGCAAAATGCTTGAAACGTCACTCGACATGATGCAATGCGACTCGGGACCGATGCGAGCTGCAACCGCCTTTCTTATTGATCCAGTTTTTGAAATCAATACATCCCGTCGATATCATGGACGAAATTAAGGCCATGATGTTGAATGTACGACAGTATTGTTGGGAATATGTTGCATCCTTCAAATAATCATCATCAAAAACAGAATATGATCATGTCAATGTTTTCGTCATTTCCAGACGTTATGTCACGGATCAATGGAATCGAGAGGACTTGTTAAAAAGAAGCTCAATCACGGGATTTTCCGAATAACCCACGAACGTGATCTTACGTATGTCGACATTTCTAATGAGAGACATCCTGAATTTTGCACCTATTCCGAGCCTGCCCTTGGTTTTTTTTTTTCCTCCAGCACATCATCGTAATAATCGCGATGAGAACGGCGTGCGTCGGGCGGCACGGTGACCGGCCGCTTAGGACACAGCGCAGAGGCGCGCGGGGTTGGATTCGGGGCCTCGGCTTTCCCGGGCGGAGCTTGCATGTTGTCCCCGTGCCTGCCCGAGTGGCTTTTCTCCGGGTCCTCCGCTTTCCTCTTCGGTGCCGGTTATTTGTCCGGACCGTTCGGCCGGTCCGAGGTTTAGTCCGCTTTGTGTCCCCAAACCGTCGGCCGCGTCGCCGAAAAGGCCCTCGGTCCGCCGGCAAATTCCCAAAGGCCTGCGACTTGCCCCCTCGCCACCAAACTGGAGACGCGTCCGTTTCTCTGGCGAGCGCACGCGGAAAACCGAGCCCCTCGACTCGATCCGGTTCCCGACTGCGGAGCGCCTTTTCTTGAGCGAAGGTGGGGGGGGGGGGGGGCGTTTGCGTCACGTTCATTTTGAGAGATTGCCAAGAAAAAGGGAGGGGCTCCTCTAATTACTTGTGTCCTGTTCTGTGGTTGACACCTCACCCGACTGGAAAATCTCCACTTTTTTTGGAAGGGGCGGCCGGCTTTTCTTCCCCGGACGAGGCCTACGGTGACTCTTTTTCTCCGCAAGCGTCATCCGACCGGTCCGTCCGGTTGCTGAAGCGACTATGCAAACGCCGAGTACCCAAATGACACCGCCGGAGCCCGCGCTACTGCCGGCTGTCACCATGACAACACGGGAGGCGCGGCCCGTTTGAGGGCGAGGCGCATTTTCCGCCGGTAGCCGGTTTGAAACGGTGACAAACGCGGGGCGGCGTTCGGAGTCCTCCGAGCGGAGTCCTCCCAGGGCGAACCGCGGAAGCTCCGACTCACGTTTTCAACTCGACGTGAAATCGCAGCCCTCCGTTCGGAACGGTCGGCGGTCTTCATGGTTTTGGCTGTCCGGCTTCCGGGAGCGCCCGCGTTGGATTTTTGGAGCGACGTCCGTATTTTTCCACGCCCTCGGCGGATCGCAGCCGATCGGTTTTGCGACGCCGGTGGCATCGAGTTTGGCTCGTGATGACATGAAAGATGAAGATGAAGATATCCTTTATTCGTCCCACACTGGGGACATTGACAGTCGACAGCAGCGATTTTGGGGGGTAGAAAGAAGAAAAACAAAGCGTTTGCAAGCACAAAAATAACTGCAGATAAAGAGAGCCGGACACAAAGAAAGGCTCGCGGAGAGTCCATTTGTCTTCACGTTTCCAGTCAAACGGGCAGGAGCGCGCCACGCGAGTTTGCAACAGCAACAACAATCTAAGGATAAGCAAAAAAGAAACGAATGTGCTCACGTCATGGGTCCCGCATGCTGGACAAGCTGAAAATGGTCGTTGCCCCGTCACAAATTTGAAAGGGGAGGGGGCGGTCCGGAGCCCGGAAATGGAGCGCGTTTCAAAATGAAAAACAACTCACGTCACTTGACGAAAGTATTGTGACGTGGGAGTCCGTTGAAGCCCACCCGGCACACGATCTTCGACGTGCCACAAGAGGGAGGCGGCGCGCCACTCTTTGAGCGGGACTCGCTGAAGCTGTCCAAAGCGGCCAGTGGCGTTTGGTGTGCGCTTCACCGGCACGCTTTTGGAACAACAAAGGCCGTAAAAAAGCAAAAGCCTCGCCGCAAGCAGCTTCTTTTGTGGCTGTGATGCTGCCGGCGACCGTTGCGGACTCGAGAAGTCCCACGCGCCCGAATGTCGGTTCGCTTGCAGCGCTTGGGCAAGGTTGCAATGGCCGGCGGGGAAATCACACCGAGCCACGCCGCCCCCCGCGCACGGGAAGGCAAAAGGGGTCGCGCTTAGTCTGTCTGTTGATGTGTGCTGCCCTCTAGTGGCGACTGTTTCAGCAACACCGGCCGTCCGGCCGCGTGATCCTCACAACAAGGGTCGCGGGGGGGATGGTCGCGTTGAAATGCGAGGACCGCGGCAGAGGTCACCGTTGGGGGTCGCTGGGTTCAGATGCGCGCACAAGCCGCGATGCGAATATTGCGGAGACCAAAAAGGGCAAAAGAGAACAAAGTGCCGCAAAGGAAAGCTGCCGGCAAGGAAGCAGACTCCCATTCCAAGACCGGCGGTGCCCAAAGGCCTTGGTCCAGTGCCAGCGAGTAGTGCTGGGGGGGGGTCTATAAATTGTTCCGGAGTCACACCAGTTTAAAAAAAAAAAAATGCACGGCAAACGCATCTATACAGAAAGTTACACATTGGACTCAAAGCCGCATTTTGGGGGCCAATCGCCCCCCCCCCCACCCCCAACAGTAGAAGTCGGGCCGATACCCCAGATCTGACCGTGAACGACTTCCAGTTGGATTCAAAGCTTCCACTTCCAACGACACAAAAGCTTTTCTTTTTAGTTCCAAATGAGTTCGGATCAAAAGCAGCTGTAAAAACTGACCGACAGATTGGAAGTTTGGGATTCGAATCGTCACCGGTCAGTGGAAATTGGCGCAGAAGGTGCCGGGAATGCAGCAAAGTATTTGGCGGCCGCCAAAAGAAAGTCGAAGAAGAAATGGAACGACGAGGAAAAGAAGAAGAAAAATAGAAGACGAATGAATTTTTGACCGTTTTAATTTGCGCAAGATGTTCTTGAACAACAAACCGCTCGTGTGTCTTCTGTCGCCAAAACGAAAGAATAAGATCTGTCAAAAGGCATTCGGCCAAATATTTTTCGACGCAGGAATTCAGGTTCGATTGAACAACTGGCGGACGACGGCAAACGGGGCCGAGCGCGCAAGCTTTTGAGGGTCAAATTAAAAAAGGGACCCAAAAAAGAAAGGATCTGAAAAACCCGAGGGGCTACAAAAAATTTCAAATCGAAATCAAAATGAAGAAACATTTGTGAAATCAGCCTCCAAACTCCATTTCGGGCCACCGTCTGCGCTGAAAACGAGCCGCGGGCCGCCGCCGTTTCGTCGAATTCAAGCTGCGATCGTCGTTGCGGAGCGGTCGAGGCTTCGGCGCGCCGCCCGCCGCTTTTGATTGGATCCGCGCGGGGGCGGCTTTTCAAGAAAATTGAATCGGGAAGGAACCTGAAGCAAAAAACGGGGAAAGGGCCGGCGGCCTTCAATTCCGAAGAGCGTCGAGGCCGAGCGCCAAAATCCGCGCGCGGGGAGAGGCCTCACGCTTTGAGCCTCAGCTCGGGCCGCACCAGGGTGGCGATGCCGATGAGCGAGGAGAGCAGGCCGCAAAAGGCCAGCGCGCCCGGATCGGACCGGTAGATCCCCAACCTGTCCAGCGGGATGGACAGATCGCACGCGTTTTTCACGGCGTCCAAAACGAGGGCCGGGTGCGACTTGAAGCTCCGCGGGAGCAGGAGGACCGAGGCGTCCAAATGAGGGATGACCGCCGGGGCTGCTTCGGGACTCCGCTCCGGATGCGAAATCGTTTCGCGCCCGTCCCTGGCCCGCCGCAGCGCGAGCCGCAGGATGAGGTACGCGTCTCGGGTCAGGCTCATGAGCAGCGAGAGCAGGTAGAAGCGCGAGGCGCCGGCGCCCCAACGGCCCCGGTCCAGACTCGGCAGAAGGCCCGCGCCGGCGGCCCACAGCGCGTTGTCGCACATCAAGTAGAGGGCGCGGTTGACGTTGGCTGCGGTCAGGCAAAGGCGGAGCACCGGGTCGGAGAGTCGCGCGCTGCGCTTGGCGGCCTCGCCGGCGTCGATGGCGTTCCCCAGCCTGAACACTGGCAAAGACAACACAAGAAGAGGGCTTCAGGGTCGCCAACCAACGCGGCTCCGCGCGACTTCGGAGCGCCGGCTTCGATTCCTCCGAGCGTTGAAGTGGGACGGAAACGCAACCGACAAACGTGCGTTCTCGCCGTCCGCTCGCCCTCGCGCCGCTCCTGTTCCAAACAGCATCGGCGACGCCGCGCGTTTGGAGCTGGGAAAGGTGGAAACGTGAGCGCCCAGTCGACCGGCCGGCGCTCGGTCAGGTCGGCGGCCGAGCGCTCACCGTGCCCCCCCCCACCCCGAGCCGGCCTGCGCGTTGAGCACGCGGCCGGCGCGGCGAGATTTGCCCAAAAGAGCGGGCCGGCCGCCCATCGGCAATTGGGAAAAAGCGAGGACGGTCAAAAGCGTCTCGGAGTTCTTTTTGCCTCAACGTCTCTCCTCCGCCGCTGGTTTCATCTGCTTGCCGCCGACAAGGCTCCCTTCCAAATATCCCCCGACGAGCACGCGCGCGGAGACATTTGGGCAGGAAAAAGCACGTTTGCCACAGCACCACTTGCCACTGGAACGGCACAAATGGAACGCTCTTCATGAGAAGAGCAGCGCGGGATTTGTTTGCTACGGAGGATTTCAAAGGTGCGTCGAGTGCTCATCCCGTCTTGGTTTTCTTGGAAAATTCCACCAAAACGGTGGCCTCTTGTCACATGCGTCTTGTTGTTTTTCCCAAAACGGATGTTCAGTCATGACAACTGAAAATTGGACTGTTTGGAGACTTGACGGTATCTTTGGAAATCAAGCGGGCCTCAAAACAGGCTGCTCCGATCAGCGCTCTGGCAAGGGACGGCACACAAACTAACTTTGACGTGAAACTTTTCATGAGAAGGAAAAAAAAAAAGAGCTCGCCTCGGTCCATTTACGCAACAACAAATCGATGGATTGCGTCGACAGACAGAGTTGGGCGTTCGGAGGTCAAATAGGAGTTGCAAATATTCACCTGTAACGCGGCGAGTTGCTCGCAAACAAGCTTGACCGTACTCACGCTTTCGTCCGCCGCTCAAGTTGGCCTCCAGACTCTTGAATTTGCTCACGAGCTCCTTTCGTCGGGAATGATTCCGCAGAGCGTGCGCGCACAGGGCGGACGCAAATTGGGTCGCTCTAAACAAGCGGGCAAAAGAAGACCGTCGTTGAGCAAGAAATGCGGCTTTCCTTGCCTTCGTTTTCCCACGAACCGACCTGAGAAGACGGTCCCTTCCCTGACTCTGGTTGATGACGTTTTGCAGCGCCTCCATGGCTCGCCTCGGCCCACTTGTTGCACGGGGCGCTCTTTCGAGCTGCAAACTTGGTCGACTGAGCGCAAAGCTCGGCGATCGCGTCGCTCCGCGACGAGGCTCGCTTTTCAGAAAAAACGCACGACGGTTTGTATCGAGCGTTTGAAAAAAGTCAAACAAATTAAAAAAAAAAAAAGGTTGATGACGTTTTGCAGCGCCTCCATGGCTCGCCTCGGCCCACTTGTTGCACGGGGCGCTCTTTCGAGCTGCAAACTTGGTCGACTGAGCGCAAAGCTCGGCGATCGCGTCGCTCCGCGACGAGGCTCGCTTTTCAGAAAAAACGCACGACGGTTTGTATCGAGCGTTTGAAAAAAGTCAAACAAATTAAAAAAAAAAAAAGCAACTTCGATGACGCTCATTCCTCGCTTCCCAAGCAGGGGCCTTCGGGG